CATTATCATATGCACATTTAAGGGCTCGAATATGCAATATTCATCACTTATCAGAAACATGGGGTGATTTTGTTTCCCTAACAAAAATTCTTCCCTTGTTCTACAAATATTTTTTTGAAAATTTTCATTTAAAATTAAATTTAATTGAGGTAGTGACCATCCAAAAATAGACCATGTCATACTCTTTTTCTTTAACCGCCCCATCGTTCCTACTTGTTTTCTCCTTGCTATTTCTTTTTTTCCTAGTTGATACTCACACACACCCCCCTAAGGAATTGTTTGCACCCAAGAGGATTCGAACCTTAGACCTGAGGCTTCCTGAGGCACCAGGACCATGTTCTTATCCACCTGAGCCAATCCCTTGGGGTTTTCTCCTTGCTCTTTCTTCACGCCAGTACTCTTTGTTTCTCTAGAAGTTTAAAACTCTAATCTCTTTGAGAGCTTAATTCTAAATAAAAATAATCATTATTAATTTTGCATCAGGCTTCACACCGGAGTCACATGCAAATAAGGATAATGTGATATTGGTGCTATGGTTTGAAAATATTGTAAAAGGAACATGCTTAATTTATGCTTTAGAACCGAAAGAATCTTTTTTATTTAAATGAGAAACATGGGGTGATTTTGTTTCCCTAAAAAAAAAATCTCCCCTTGTGCAAATATTTTCTGAAAATTTTCATTTAAAATTAAATTTAATTGAGGTAGTGACCATCCAAATATAGACCATGTCATACTCCTGGCCCATCGTTCCTACTTGTTTTCTCCTTGCTCTCTCTTTTTCTCCTAGTTGATACTCACACATACCCCCTTCAAAGAATTGTTTGCATCCAAGAGGATTCGAACCTTAAACCTGAGGCAACCTGAGGCACCAGGACGGCAGGACCAATTTCTTATCCCCCTGAGCCTACCCCTTGGGGTTTTCTCCTTGCTCTTTCTTCACGCCATTACTCTTTGTTTATCTAAAAGTTTATAACTCTAATCTCTTTGAGAGCTTAATACTAAATAAAAATAGTCATTATTAATTCTGCATCAGGCTTCACATCAGAGTCACATGCAAATAAGGATAATGTGATATTGGTGCTATGTTTTGAAAATATTGTAAAAGGAACATGCTTAATTTATGCTTTAGAACCGAAAGAAACAATGATTTGACAATGACTTTTTTTTTTTGACAAGTAACAATGACTTTGGTTTAGGGCCATCCAAATTCAAAATATGCTGGGTTTGGTTTGTCAAACGATGTGTGAGACTGCAGTGTCCAATGTCCAAACTTACCTCAATGTGGCCCACCCTAGTGTAATAATTGTGCAATCTAGCTTGTCATGTTGTCGGATAATGAAGATGGGTACTAATTAGAAGGAGAAAGCAAGAAAAATAAGAGCAGCTGAACTGAATAGTCAGTCTACTATCACAATGGGCTGGTTCCACACATTCGTGAGAGTCTCTCCCGACTCTTCCGCCCTCGTAATGGGCCTGCACCTCCGCGTGGGACCCATGCAATTGTTAATTCAACCCATATTGTAATACCTCTGGGGTTGGCTTTAATACCACTGCCTCAATTGGCCGTTTCCACACCCAAAAATACTGAAGCAAACAGAAAATGAACACAAGTCTTCTTACAACAGTAAGGAAGACTAGAAATACTCCAATAACCATCGTAGCCTAGATTTCTAAAGGGAAATCTGGGAAAAGCCTAAAGAACTGTTTATAAACTGATAATAACTCAAATTGATATTGATTATGACTTGATTACAACAAATATAAGAGATTGTTCCTTATATAATACTACCATTAAAAAAACTTGACTTTTCTTAGAATGACTTATTGAATTCCCACACAGCTTTAATAGCATTTTATCACTTTCCTAAATAAACACATAGTAGTTCGAATACTTAATTAATTATAAACACTTAGTAGTTCCAAAACTTAATTAATTACTACCCAAAAACTACGATGACTCTTCGACTTTTTCTTCAAGGCACTTTTCAAGGCATCATTGACTGGCTCAATCCTAACTAAAGTACCCTTAATGATTTGCATCAAATACTAATCACCCGTGGGGTTCCTGCACCCATTTATTAACCGCAGGATCACCCAACACTCATCCGATGGGATGTGGTACAGAATATATCTATGCATATCTATGCATCCGTGACACTAAGCTAGCAAAATAAATGAGAAAGCTTTCCAATCAATGATTTTGGGGGTAAATAGGATGAACAACGATGCAAAAACCCATTATAAAAGTACAATGCTTTGGATTAACGAGTACAATACTTGTGTGGAAAATATAAACCCTTCTTATAAATTTCACTAGTTAAATTAACTGTTTCACAAATTGAATTGATTATAGGAAGTGGGAACAGTTCGCTAAGTAGGCATGGGCCATGGGAACTTTTGTTACAAGTTAGATGTCTATTTGTGTGATTGTTGTTAAGTTGCCATGGGGATTTCTAGCTTTAGCATATTTATTGAAATGGGCATTGTTTTGAGATTAATTTTAGGAGACAGATGGTGCTCTGCAGAATTTTTCTCTCTTGGTTATGTACTTAAACCAGGTCTTGGGAGAATCGCTGGTGTGGAGACTTTGTTTTGGCTCTTATGTTTCCTTGTCTGTTCAGGATTTTTTCGAGCCCACGCGCTTGGATTGCTGACTTTGCTTGATAGCGGGAGGTTGACTTGGGATTGTGCAGTTTCATAGAGAATTTCATGATTGGGAGCTTACGGAGGTAGCTAAGTGCTTATTAGCTTTATTGTACAGGGATGGATGAGATGGTTTGGGTGGGCACACCTAGAGGGGTGTTTGAGGTTAGATCTTTTTATTAGAGTCTTGCGGATACCCCTGGTCATTCCTTCCCGTGGAAGGAGATTTGGAAGTCCAAAGCTCCCTTGAAGGTGGCCTTCTTTGTATGGTGTGCCGTTCACGGTAGCATTCTTACTCTTGACAATCTAAGGAAGAGACGTCATATCATGGTCAACTGGTGTTGTATGTACTATGTGCAAGAGGACAGAGGAAACAGTGAATCACCTTCTTCTTCACTGCCCAGTGGCGACTTGTGGTGGGGTTTGTGGTGTGAGAAAAATAGGAGATCCTTTGAAGGGTTGTTGATTCCTATTTGGACTCTCAAATATAGTATACTGTATACTTTAATTTTTTTGGGGTGAATGGGAATAATTGTAAATCTTTGGGGGCATCTTTTGGACTTTGTTGATAGCTTGAAGCTTTAGTTGTCTCCTTTGGCATCTTGTGTATCCTTTTGGGCTCGCTCCCCTCTTGAGCGCTTTTAATTAATTTTACTTATGAGAAATTAATTGGGTGGACTTGGAATAAGACGTCTCTCTTGGGTAAATGGTTAAGGAGATATGGGAGGGAAAGACATCGTCCATGGCGCAGGTTATTCTCTTGTCGGTTTGGGGAAGACGCTGGAGGTTGGTCTACACGTCCGGTTACCCTTGTGGGAGGAGTAGGGATGTGGAAGGCTATTCGGAAGGGTTGGGATGCCTTTTCTGCTCATATCAGATTCAAAGTCCGTGATGGACGTCGCATTCGGTTTTGGGAAGATCTTTGGTGTGGTGATCAGCCACTATCTCGTACATTTCTTAGATTATTCAGTATTGCTGTTGATAAACTCGCCTACGTAGTTGACTGTTATCGGCTTGATAGTAGTGGGATTATATGGGATGTGCATTTTCGGTGCTCTTTTTAGGATTGGGAGATGGACAAGGTATGTATTTTTCTGGATCTTCTGTATAGGCAGGAGGGTGTTAGCAGAGATAATGACAATTTGATTTGGGTTCCTTCTTCCCACGGTCGTTTCAAAGTAAGATCTTTGTTCTTATGTTTCTCTAATTTTGTTAATTGAGACTTCTCGTGGAAAACTATTTGGCGGACCATGGCTCCAACTAGGGTGGCTTTCTTTGTTTGGACCATTGTGTGGGGAAAGATTCTAACAATTGATAACTTGAGGAAAATGGGCAATTGTATTGTTAATCGGTGTTGTCTATGCAAGGATGATGAGGAGTTAGTTGATCACCTCCTTATGCATTGCCCTGTGTCGAACGACTGTTGGAATCTTATTGTTAGGTTGTTTGGCATGTGTTGGGTAATGCCATGATCCACTAAGGAATTAATCCATGTTTGGAGAGGATGTCGTGTGAGAAGAGATGTACGCGATTTCTGGAGAATTGTCCCACATTGTGTTTGGTGGTGTATTTGGAAGGAGAGAAATAGCAGAATGTTCGAAGGGAAAGAGTCGCCTACGGCAATGGTCAAACTTTACATTCTTCGTTCTCTTTTCAATTATGTGAAGAGGAGCTTTTGCTCCTCTTTTGAAGATTTAATTCCTTTCTTGGATTTTTTGGGGCCTTAGTCCTTGTTCCATTTTTGTAATTGGGACGCGTTCCTCTCTTGAATGCCTTTTTTAATGTTATTTTTACTTATCAAAAAACTTATCAGAAAAAAATAACATGGTTAAGGTATGTCTAGTGCAGTGTTCATAAATGGATTCTCTGAAGCATGATAATTTTAAATAGTGAAAGCTGAGGACATGTTTTTTTAAGTATTGATTTAATTTTGACTGGAACAAGAAGAAGAGAGAACAGAAAGCATCATTGCTGCTTTGATAAAACTAGAACATTTTTACTCAATATCTTGGAAACTCGTTTTGAGAACTATAAAAACTAAACTCTCTCTCTCTCTTTGGTAGCTTTAAAACAGAAATCTCTTTCTGAATATAGTGCCTCTCTAATGTATAACTTTTCCATTGTCCATTCTAACCTGTTGGTCCGGACCTACAGCACTGATAAGGAGCTTTGAGCAATTGTATTCAATGTTGTCAACCCATTTCCTTGTTTGGAGCATCAAAGAGCATTCCAGATTCTGTTTGCTTGTGATTATATTTAAACAGCTTATATGTTGATAAAAGTTACTTTTTTATTTTGATTTATTATTTTGGGATGTTTTATTCAAAGACTTTTCCTCTTGTGATGCAATCTGCCAGCAAATTGTTCCGCCTGTGCTTAATTCTTTTTCCGACCAAGACAGCAGAGTTCGTTATTATGCTTGTGAAGCGCTGTATAACATTGCAAAGGTGAGAATTAATTGAGGGCTTACATTATATGGTTCATTTGCAAATATATTTACGGCTCATCTCCTTTCTTCTTTGCAGGTTGTGAGAGGAGACTTAATTGTTTTTTTCAATCAGATCTTTGATGCCTTATGTAAGCTTTCTGCAGACTCTGATGCCAACGTACAGAGTGCTGCTCATCTTTTAGATAGACTTGTCAAGGTGAACAATTGCTTTTCTGCCATATATTGGGGCTTGTTCGTGCTGTACCTGATGATTATGCTTTTAAAAAAATTAATATATTGCTTTTTCATTGTTGGAAAACAGGACATTGTCACAGAGAGTGATCAATTCAGGTGTTCAATTAATTTTTTTTTTAATCTACTTTCATATCTGTCTGTTGTGGGATCAGAATCTAAAAATTTGTCACAAGAGTTATGTAATTTCCTTGTATAACTTTGTTCATGGTTTTCCTTCTCAGCATTGAAGAATTTATACCATTGCTGAGAGAGCGTATGAATGTTCTAAATCCTTACGTCCGCCAATTTTTGGTAGGGTGGATAACTGTATTAGACAGTGTTCCAGATATTGATATGCTGGGTTTTCTTCCTGATTTTCTTGATGGTAAATGTTCTTAATTTGAAAGAACATCTGAACTTCCATGATGATCAATAATATGTTCAAGTACTTTTGCAGTAAATACATCTGAACTTCCATGATGTGATGAAATTTCAGGTTTATTTAACATGTTAAGCGATTCTAGCCATGAAATTCGGCAACAAGCTGATTCTGCACTTTCAGAGTTTCTTCAAGAGATCAAGAACTCCCCAGTGAGATTTCTGCTGATGTAGAATGTTAGAACTTTTTACTGATATACCTATATTTTGCTGGTTGGTTTGTTGCCTTCCTTTTGGAAGAACTGCAACACCCTGTGGCAACTCTTTTCCTTCATTGGAGGAGTTTGATTATGGATATGTTAACTTATAATTTTGAACAAAGAATTTCATATTAATTCATCATGGATTGAAGTATTTTAAGTCAAAAATAAATTTTATTGTTCATAAGCAATTTCCTGACTCGAGCAGTGGTACTCTTGAAGTCTGTAGATTATGGTCGAATGGCTGAAATACTGGTACAAAGGGCGGGTTCCCCGGATGAATTTACACGGCTGACTGCTATCACTTGGGTAAGGTTGTCGATGCATAAGATCACAAGTGCATGGAGTTTTCTTTTCCATATTGGTGTGGTTTTTCGCTGATCTAGTCTTGTTCAAGTCTTGTTTTTTTCTTTTTTTCCTCCTAGTCATTAAATATAGTTGGACAAATTTTATTTATTTTTCGAGAATAGCTCCCTAATTTTTGGATAAATTTGTTGAGACTATTTTTTTTTTTTTTTTTTTTTTTTTGCAGATAAATGAATTTGTTAAACTTGGTGGGGATCAGCTTGTTCCTTATTATGCTGATATTCTGGGAGCCATTTTACCCTGCATATCTGATAAAGAAGAGAAAATAAGAGTTGTAAGTTGATTTGCTACTGCCTGCTTCTTTATGCCCGACCTCCATAATGGTAATGATGCTTCTTGAAACAATTTTTTTAGTAATATTTGTTTTTGGTGAATAACTTATCAGGTTGCTCGTGAAACCAATGAAGAACTTCAAGCAATCAAGGCTGATCCAGCTGAAGGATTTGATGTAGGAGCAATCCTCTCTATAGCAAGGAGGTGTAGTTCTTGTAACCTGGGAAAAGAAAGCTAAATTGGTTTTAAAATACTGAGAATTTTCAATCTCATGGGTTGATGTGGCTTTTGGCTTCTTGAATAGTTAAAATAGCTGCATAAAATGGTTTTTTCTTTTGGTTATTATATATTGAAGTAATTATCAGAAGGTTCATTGTATTTTACGATATTTATATTGAAGGGTTGGAACTGCTTAAATTAATTTGATGTTATAATTGCCGATTTCTTCTGTTTATCAGGCAGTTGTCTAGTGAATGGGACACCACTCGAATTGAAGCATTGCACTGGATTTCAATCCTTCTAAATAGACATCGTGCTGAGGTAATCAGGGAATGATGAATCAGTTAGCTGTCTGATTATTGTGTTATTTTATATATGCGTGAATATGATCTCTCTGAGATTCTGAAGCAAAAAATTGTGTTTGGAGAAAAACTTTGAGGCTTAGCCAAACAGTTTTGTCTTTCTTTTGTTAAATGGTTCACCTACTTGCAAGTCATGCTCATTTGTGGGAATTCATAGATAATTTCTTCTCGTAAAGTTCCAATCGCTATGTAGTGCACACATGGCACTTGGTGCAACTAATTAATGTAAAGGAATTATGGCTATGTAGCACATCCACCACAGCTTCCCTCAACCCCTCTGGAAAGTGTACAGACTTAGAGTTTGGTGATGCAGTTGCTACTTGCCAGCTGAACAATTCTTTACATTTAAAGGACCAAGTTAACAATCAATCTAGGGTCTGAAGAAGGATTTATGAAAAAAAAAACGGAAAATGGACTCATGTTTGAACATTTAAGTTTTATGATTCGTACCTCCTTCAACTTGTCTCTCTCTTTCAGTTTCCCTGCAGAGATGTCTCTCCATCTTTGTCCAATTCCCAAATAATTTGTATTTACAAGTCTCAAAATCTAAGAAGCACAGACACTTCTATGTGGTGCCATGTCCGTGTCGGACACTGACACTCCATGGACACTCCTAGATATGTGTCTAACACTTCACGGCCGTGTCCATCATTTAAAAATAAATTTTACTATTTCGGACACTTGGTCGACACATCTCGGACACTTGGTCGACACATTCCGGACACTTGACCAACATATTCTGCACTCTGTCTTGTACTCACAACAGTCCCAGAAACAAAATTATGAACATACATTAAAGTGTCCAACCTCTAAGAAACAAAAACGTCACAATAATGACAAGATAGGATAGCAATATCATATACAATATAACATATTCTTTTTGATATTGGGATAGCGTCACCCTCTAACTTATGTATATCTAGCATAGAATTTATAATTAATTAAAGTTCTTTGATTGTATCATTCAATAGATATATAAATAATTTATATTTATATTTATGTTAGTCGTGCTGACGTGTGTGTATCCTACTTTTTTAGAATTTGACGTGTCAGCATATGTGCGTCGTGTCCGTGTCCCTTATCTGTATCCGTGCTTCTTATCTCATAATACCTTTTTTGTAAAAACACCCACCACCCAAATCTGTACTTCTATACTGGCTAATTGTAGTGAATGCCTAATATTGTAATTTATGGCAAATGTTGGCTAATTCTAGTTCTGATTGTGGTATTGCTTTCATGAGGAAGGTGCTTATATTTCATTTTTCTACTTAAAACAGGTTTTGTCATTTCTGAATGATATTTTTGACACTCTCCTAAAGGCACTATCAGATCCTTCTGATGAGGTAATGTTCTTTTCCTGGTGATTATTTGCCTTTCTGATTGTTTCACGATGCTCCATTTTCGTTTTGAGTATTATTTTCATCAAAGCTGTTACTTTGTTTTTCCTTCTCAATTTATGTATATTTGGCAGAAAATTATTTAATAGCATTTTTTTTTTTGTCGTTGATGCTGTTTTTATTATTTTTATTTATTTATTTTTATGGGTTTAGGAGATGGCCTTTATACTCTTTTTCGTTTCATAGGGGTTGACTTACTACTTTAAATATTAATTATGTTGTAATTGTGAGTGAATTTGATACTAAATTCATGAAGATTTTCAATATTAATTATGGTTGGATATTATTACTTATCAATATTTACTTAAACATGTGTGTTTTTTGCAACCTGAATTGGTATGAAAATGTAACATCCAAGCTAGTTTGATTGTGGAATGCTCATCTTGCATTAAAGTGGATCAAAAGTTTTAAGAAATGTCAGGGCTAGGGTCTTTATTGTTCAAATAAAGTGAATAAGCCTGTTTGATCGACTGTAGGAGCAAAGAACTTGACTTGGTTTTTGTCTCTGTTTTGCTTAATTTTTTCGGCAGATGAGTTAATTATTTTCTTGAAGAGTTGAAGAGAGGTAATGAGACTGATATCTTATATCCTTTCTAATGAGATTGATATCTTATATCCTTTTCTGATATGTGATGAGCCGATGGGGTGTCAGATGATATTGGGGTTTGCATATTCATAGATCAGGCTATTGTCTCCAGTTAATGTGGATGGTGTTTCATAGACAAAAGTTAATAAATCCAAGGAAAAATCTTATAATCATATTGAGGAACAACATATGTTGCACCTGTGGTATTTGACATGTGCAGAATTCATATATATAGTGGTGTAAAATGCATCGAGTATATGCTCTAGTGGAAGCAAATCAACTAAGAGATTATAAGATTTTTAAAAGCATGGTTGCCATCCCATCTGCGGAGATGCGGATTTGGTTTCCTGGTTTGCTAATTTTTCTTCTAATAATGTACTCCATTATTGTTTACAAGAAGAAAAATGTTAGTTGTTTCCGTTAGCACAGTCGAAGGGGTCATTGTCAATTTTTCTGTGTTGTGTGTCAGTTTGGCACTGCTATTTGTTCTGTCGTCCTGCAAAATGAATGATACATCTGACACAAACCTCTTAAGATGGCTATCATTGAAGGAGACCCCTATTTTTTTTGGGTTTAAATTCTTGCAAAAAGTGATGCTGACAATCATTCTTCCTGGAGGCACTTAGTAAGCTTCAGAACAATATAAATACATTTTCCACTTGCTGTCAGAGACCCTTAACCTTTATCGACACCTCACTTCTACTGTCCAAGGTTGTTTTCATTAGGGTAAATTACACATACCTCGCATCTAGTTTGGGTTAGTTACACTTGCCTAGTGTTTTGGCATATTACAGTTACCCCTTTGGAGTGATGGGCGTTAAAGTCTTACGTTAAATTTCCATTTGCCCTTACTATTATATAAACATGACTTTAATTGAAAAAGATCTAAGGGTATTTTCGACATATAAATCTTCTAATTTGGCCACGTCATCATTGACCATTGTTCACCATTAGTGTCACTGACTGTAGTGGGGTATTTGTTACAAACGTGCAAACTAGAGGGAGGTAAATGTAATATGCCAAAACACGGAAGGCCAGTGTTAACAAACCCAAACTAGAAGGGAGGTAAGTGTAATTTACCCTTTTAAATCATTATACTTTGATTTGTTATGAACTAAAGCTTTGGGTTCACAGAACTCTTTCAAACAGTTCCATTTCCTGTCCCAATGATATTGTTGTAGCCCTTAGCAAGTTCTAAGTCCTTTAGCAACTCTAATGAAGGTGCAGAAATAGAGCATTTATTTAAGTTTTACTAGCTCGTTACTAATCCAGGGAAATACTGATGGCTTTTGGTCCATGAATCATGCAAAGTATTTGGCACAAGTTTATGTAATCGTTCTTCCTGATCCTTATATATTTATCTTTTGAGTAACCTCGCTTTTGTACCGTACAAGAGATAAAATTATTTGAGGGATGCCCTATCTGTGCTTTAATTAAGTATTTTGTTATACCCCCTTCTTTTTTTCTTTTCTTTTTTCAGGTAGTGCTATTGGTGCTCGAAGTGCATGCATGCATAGCCAAAGACCATCAGCACTTTCGCCAGCTTGTTGTTTTCTTAGTACATAACTTCCGGGTTGACATCTCTCTCCTGGAGAAGTGAGGCCTCAGCCCCACCCACTATTTTAGAATTTATTTAATTTTTCCTTCTTGTGGTTAAATTGATGTTTTTGAATTATTATGGTTTTGTTGTCCATTAATTATCTTGATTTAATAAATTACTATCTTATTTTTTTTCTTTTAGGCGGGGGGCTTTGATAATCCGCAGACTGTGTGTTCTTTTAGACGCTGAAAGAGTCTATCGGGAGCTATCTACCATACTTGAGGGTGAAGCTGACCTGGATTTTGCATCTATTATGGTTCAGGTTTTGTATCATTTAAGTGAACATTTGTTTTGTTATAAAATAGTGAAACTCCTGGAGTCTCCATAGCCATTCCTTACATGATACAACCTAATTGAGATTGATAAATCGTAGGACCGATACCCAAGGCTCTGATACTTCCAGAGTATGAGTTGTAATATAAGCCTAGAAAACAGAAAGGGGGGTTGAATAAGTCTTCTGAAAATTATTTCCACATAACTAACATTTCATGTTACCGTTAATCCTAGTGCAAAATTCAGTCAATTAAATGTGTTGATTGATATTGCCTTTCGAAAAGAAAAACTGTGATGATTGATATTTGAATTATAGTTTTATGCTTGTTGATCTTCAATTTCCATTAATCATATTTACAATCATGTATCAATAGAAAAAAAAAAAAAAAAATGGAGCAGAGACACAAATTTGTACGTGAAAAACCCAAATGGGAAAAATCAGGGGACCTAGTCTAGACATGCACAATCAATTATACGAGAAAGAAGTTATAACCAGGTTGACAGTTCCCACACCTGTAGACACCCTACCCTAGATACCTGTTAGCATACTCTTAAGTCTAAACTTTCCACAAAAGTCTCCAGGTCGGCTGTCCGCTCGTTAATAGACTTCACTCCTCCTGAATCTGCTTCTCTAGTGATTGTCTGCCCTTCTGCTCCAACAATTGATTGGTTGAATTTGATTGGATTGTTAAATTCTTCCTAGGTGGACACTTAATCACATTCAGTGAAATCCATGGAAACCATAGATTAAGCAATTTGGGAATTCTTTTCTCTCTAGAAGAATAGAAAATCCAAAACCATACCCCATATTTATAGCCAATATAGATATAGAATCCTTGTGAAATTTTGTTTTGAGAGAGTTTCTAAACAAATATGTTCGTCAGGTTCGAGTGATCAACCCTTGGGTTGAAGTCTTCTGGACAGCCCTCGATAGATCAACCATTCGATCACTACATACTGGGTTTTAAAACAATATATACACACACACACACACACACACACACACACACACACACACACCTTAGTTGGTTCTCACACACCCATGCCTCCACGGCTCGAACCCCTGACCTCCTTTGGGAAATAGGGGCTCGGTACTGCTGGGCCACTAGCCCGTTGGTGGATTTTAAAACAATTTCTTGCAAAACTTTTGATCGATCGTTTAATTGATGGCTGCTGCACAATTTTCGATCAATCACCCATTTTCTTTATAAGGAAGATTTGATTAGAAGTGCTCAAGAGGGAGCGCTCACAGGAGAATACACAGAAAGCCGGCAACGACCAACTATAGTTTCAGACTTTCAACAAAATCCCCCATAGATATACAATTCCGCCCATTTTCCCAAAAGAATAAAAAACTCAATATGACATAGTTAAGAGACCAAATAGGAGTCTCCTCTCCATCAAAGGATCTCCTATTTCTTTCTCGACACAAACCCCTCTATAAACAAAGGTGAGTGGCCCTCCTAGCATCTTTGACTCGACTATGCACTGTACACCCTTTCCAAGCCTCGAACTTGCCTACTGTAGATCTGGTAGACACCCAGTGCATACCAAACATCACCAAAAAACATAGCCCACACATCCCTCGCCACCAGATAATGCAAAAGAAGGTGATTCACCGCCTCCTCCGCCCTCTTGCACATGCAACACCAATTCACCATAATTTGCCGCCTCCTTCTGAGATTGTCTAAGGTGAGAATCCTCCCAAGGGCAGCTGACCATGCAAAAAAAGCCACCTTGAGGGGAGCTTTCGATCTCCAAATGGATTTCCAAGGAAAGGGTGGTTTTGGCATCTCCGAAAGGCTCTGATGGAATGATCGAACTCCAAAGACTCCTCTTGGGGAACCGTCCAAACCATCTTATCCATCTCCTCCCCTTCACCGCTTGACTGTACAACAGTGCGAGCAACTCTGCTACTGTACGCTCCCAATCATTAAACTCTCTCTGAAACTGCACGTCCCAAGTCAACCTCCCGCTATCAAGCCAATAGCAATTAGCAACCAAGGCGTGTTTATCTGTAGCAATCCTGAAGAACTGTGGGAACCTATGAGCCATAACAATGTCCCAACACCAGGTCCTCCCAAAATCTGACATGCCTCCCGCTCCTGACCCTGAATCAAATTCGTTTGGAGAACTTATCCCAATCCTTGTGATTAAGCTTTCGAAACACCCACCCCCTTTCCGTAGGAAACTCACCTCCCTAGACAGTTGTTGATTGATGCATATTGCTGTTCAATTTAAACTAGTTTTGAAAAATTTGTAAACCTTGATTCTGAAAACCTATTTTCTAAAACACATTTAAAATAATTTATTGATCGTCACCAAGATAAATCTAGATCATTTTAGGTCTTTCTAAGGTCATATTACCTGTGCCCTTGAATTGTGATTGGGGATGCGGATTTCACGCTGTGTTCCTTACAATTTTGTCTGCGTTGCCTTCAGTAGATGTACTCGAATGACTCAAGACGCTTTGACACATTACAACACAAGTTTTGAGTAGGAAATTGCCAACATATTACTCAAATACCTCACAGAGACATTGTAGAATAGGCAAATCCGTTTTCGTAATTTTTTAAAGCCATCACCCATGCCAGTTTATGGTAAATTTGTTCTTATTTTCCAATTGTAGCAACTCATTTTGTATGTTTCTCTTTTCTGTTTCAGGCTTTAAATTTGATTTTGCTCACTTCGTCTGAGTTATCTGTGCTTCGAGATCTTTTGAAACAATCACTGGTCAACACTGCTGGGAAAGATTTGTTTCTTTCTTTGTATGCTTCATGGTGCCATTCACCAATGGCAATAATAAGTCTCTGCTTTTTAGCTCAGGCAAGAGTCTAACGACTATGTTATGGTAGCCCAATTTATCTTTTGAAGCTCTCCCCTTCCCTCTCTCCCTCCCTTTATGACTAAAGTATGATAAGTTTCATGTGCATTTGCCCAGTCCTTAAACTTTTGTTGCCTTTTGTGATCTCTCTTGACAGACTTACCAGCATGCAAGTTCTGTCATTCAATCTCTGGTCGAGGAAGATATCAATGTCAAACTCTTGGTCCAATTGGACAAATTGATCCACCTACTGGAAACTCCAATTTTTGCTTATCTTAGGTTGCAGGTGCTTTAACTTCTTATCTCTTTATTTAGTATTTTATCTTGAAACTTCCACATGGTTAAATTTTAGTTTGTATTGGTTTGTTTCCATTATATGTTTGTTGTCACTGGGAAAAAATATAAATGGTATTAATTCTTTTTCGTATATACACATTGATTAATGACTGCTGTGTTCTCCAAGTACTTTTTTTTTTTTTTGAGAAGCAAATATTTTGTCTGCTTGCATGCATTTGTTTTCTCATATAGTTGTCTTATCTTGTGATCTTAATTTTACATAATTTTCTTCATTCTTGATGCTCAAACTTTGCATATGTTGTTTGAACTAGATTATTCTTCCGGGTTATTAGATGAATTAGTGCATTGATACTCGAAAACCTTAGTTTTTATGATGCTCTATATTTCCCTGTTTGAACTAAATTTTTCCAATTTTTTTATGGGATATTATAGTTATATGTATAGGTATTCCAGTGCTGTAAGGAACAAGGATTTTTTCAATTCTTCTATTGGGTATGATGAGTGGTTTTAAGGTTGCCCCTGAAAATTTTTCCATGCGACTTGCCCAGGGTTTTACTTCCTTCAGTTGTGTTATTCTGAAGCTGATTCTTTTATCTTTGCATGCTGAAATCTACTTGCTATGTTTAGGCCTGACCTAAAAGAAATGCCACTCACCTAGTTCTAATTTTAAAGTGAGATCATATATATTTGGTTAAACTTTCCATCTTGCCTTTAACGTATGGAAGTTGCAACATTTGTCAGCTATGAGCATGTGGGTGAAAGTCCTTTTTCAGATCTCTCTATGCTAGTGGCTGAATAGGGTTTTACTTCCTTCATTTCGGGAGAAAAGCAAGTTGTTTTGTATGTCTAACCTTGTAGCCTGTAGCTTCTGGCCATTGCTTGCTCTTCCTTGCGCATTCTTTTCTTGAAGCACTTATCTTCCTGGGGTATGTAATTAATGGTTGATGGAAAGTAAAATATGATGCATCATGCATTACAAGGGTTTGAAGGTCATTAGAGGCATTTTTGAGGGAAAAAATCACAATGCATTTAGTGGCTATTAATTGTCAATTAATTTTGGGGCATGAGAATCTTTATCCATTAAAGAAAGAAAATAAAATGCTCTAGTTACTTAATCGACTTCCGGTTTACTTCCTGATGTTTCTATGACTGTAAGCTGAATTCTCAATATGACCTACCTCATGAATTCTTATCAGTCATAGCACTTGCCTTTTCCTTTATTTTCACACCCAGAAATCTCACTTGTGTGTTTTGGGATCAAATTTCACCATGACTCTTGTATTGGCTGTTATAATTATTTCCAATCACTGCCTCAAGTTAGATGTCGTCTTCTATTAATTAATTAAAACAAAAGCATATTATTAGTAATAGACTGAACTGTATGAAGTGTGAGACAACATCCAACCACAGGATGGCCACATGAGGTGAGAATATAATGCAAGTAGGCAACTACTCTTTAGTACTTTGTTGTTTCTACTCTACCCTTTATATCAGCAATCTTTACAACTACTATATGCAACATGGCTTGAACTAAAAATAGAGGGGTTATTTGAGCATTGACATCACAACAAAGCATTTAAGCATTTAAGACAACTTTTAGAAACGAATTTGGTTCGGATTTGTAACTGCGGGGAATTTCCATTTTAGGGCAATTTTGGAGTTAGAATTTTTCTTCAATGCAGCTATCACTTCAATTGAGCTTACTCACGAGCTGAATTGATTTCATGATTTTACCCTCTTTATGTGTTTTTGTAATTTCTTTTCACAACTCTGTTAGTGTCAGGTGATTGAGTTTATGGTCTGGTGTTGTGTGAGAACCAACTAGGAAAGAAAAAAAAAATTGCTTCTAGCATGAGTATATTGCTAGGAAACTGCTAAAGGCAGTTTGTTATTACAAGTTTACAGCACCAATTTGTTTCCTGTGATTAGTGGAGTGGACCCCAATCCCCCCCCCCCCCCCCCCCCCGGATTCCTAATCATCTTAAATATTGTCTTATTTAAGCTAGAGAGGAGTTATGAAGAAACTCGTTTTCCCTTTATATGTTTTTCCTTTTCTTCACTAATTCCGTGATCCAACACAGCTTTTAAGGGAGAGCCTGTGGCCCTTCTCCCCACCCACTTCCCCAGCTGCAATAGCTGATAAGATTGTATGAAACCCATTGAGTTATATTTCAAATTATTTTGGGTTGTTAAAAACAATTTCACCTATGTTGGTCCCTTTGAACTTTTAAGCCAGCCAATAACATGAAGTGCAAAACCTCATTTATTTTTACATATTTTCTTTACACACACAAAAACTATAATTTCCTCTTACCAATTAGTTGTTATTCTCACCTGTTCCTTTTCCAGAATATGCATACAACCTGCTGTTTTTCTTGGACAAGAAATTCATATAATTATCTATTCATAATTCAGATTTACTTTTTGATTGTGCTTGAAATTTCTTTTGGGTGTATAGAACATCATCTCATCATCTCATGCCACCAAAGGTTAAACACTTGCACAGATATATGATCATTCTGTTTGCAAAATGATGTAAGTGGGCTGAATGGTGGTTGATGGCTATATCATTAATCTACAGTATTTATTATTGTATTCATACTAGATGAGTGATAATTGTTCCAACTTCCAATCTACACTGAATTCAATATTTTTCTCAATCTAAAGATTATGTCAAGTGTCTCAGCCATTTTATGCTTCTTGCAGCTTCTCGAACCTGGAAAGTATATATGGTTATTAAAAGCCTTATATGGTCTTCTAATGCTGCTTCCCCAGGTATGTCTGGGACTCTGGGTTTATTGTATTTTGGGTAATCAAGTCTGGATTATTTGTTACTTTGCTCTGTTTAATAAATGACCTGATTATGGAAATCTCTCTCTGACCTAAGGATTTAAAACTATTTAAAATTGTGACATGTGCTTATCTTTCAATCCTTGGAATAGATCTAAGGGGCGCCAGGCATACCAAGTTATTGGTACGCCAAACCAATCAAAATGCACAATTCAAGTTGGTTGTTGGCAGATTTTATATGTTGGTGGGATCAATTTCTTTGAATGGTGCATTGTGATTGGTTGGGCAATACCAATGACGTGGTATGCCCGGTTTACCTTAGATTTCCAATCCTAGTCTGCAGTCATATTCATATGATGGAATTTTTGGGTTCTGAAATTTCCATGGTTTTACATTGATGGGTTTTGTATTCTGCTGACAAGGATTTAATTTAGTTCCAAATTAATATTTCTCACAATTATTCTACTGATGGTGCTTTTAGTGTACTATTTTTCCATTTTCTCATCCATGTGGTGTTTTTACTCCAGCAAAGTAAGGCCTTCAAGGTTCTACGGACTCGATTGAAAACCGTACCTTCATACTCCTTCAACAGTGAGCAGTTCAAGTGGACATCATCCTCAGGGAACCCATACTCACAAATTCATCACATGTCAAGTGGATCACAAATCTATGAAGATGGTGACATGAATGGAGATTCACAGAATAATAATGGAATAAACTTCACTTCCAGGCTGCATCAGTTTGAGAACACACAGCAGCAACATCGAATGCATTCAAGATCACTGGCACATTCAAGATCACTGGCAGTGTCACGCATCAGTTCTAGTTCGACAACAAAGGTTTGTTGAGCTTCTATATGGCTACTTTATTTTTCTGTTCTCCTCGAGAATTGTACATTCTAGTTTCAATACTCCTTGTAGGATATATGGTTTTAGGTCAAATCCAGACAAGACTTATGTTGGTCCTTATCGAAGGCTTGTGATATGATGTCTATGCAGGAGGTTCAAAAACCAGAAGAACCACGGCGACTTTCACCCGTGCCAGACCTGAGCAGGCCTCCTTCGAGATCGTCGCATAGAGGTTAAGGACAATTACAAGTTTAAATTATTTTGCTTTATGCCCCTAATCGAGGGTCATTATACACCAATCTCTGTGTTTGCAAGCCCTGATGAGATTTGGTATAATTTGTAAATTGTATATTCCTATTAGTTTGTCTTGTTAAATTCATACAAAGGTGTAGGGGATTGTGGGCATTGATTTTTAAATTGAGCTCGAGTTTTCCCGGGCTATTCTTTCTTTTTGAACTGGGTGCGCTCATTCGGTTCTATTATTTTATTTTTTTCTGTTGTAAACCATATGGTCCAGAGGTTAGACATTATTTTTAGGAAATGCAGTTTGTTTTTAGTTCATCTGTTATAACAATTAAAATAAATGAATAGTCGTATTTCTGTATTCATCTTCAAATGGACACTGCGCGGTTCCTCTTGTTCCCTTAGGATCTGTTTGACAGTATTCATCTTCCAATGGATGATAGTTTATGTTTTAGTTGTCAAATCGGGGAAAATTAAAACAAAAATTATATATTTTAAATATATAGTATAGTTTATATGTATATGTATATAAAAAAGCTCCTCCTTTTTTTAATTTTTTTTTCTCGGCTTCGGCTTTCATATTAATCCTTAATCAAGCAATTAGTATTAACAAAGAGAATAAGAATTTGCATATCATAAACTAGTTACAAATACAATTCCTTTTGACTGGTGGAGTGATCAACAATTTAATTGGACTAATGTTAACGTTTACTCCTTTGTAGCAACTAACCACTTTCATTCTTTTATTTGTGAACTTTGTATTTATTTATATTTGTAATTCATTGCATTTTTAGGTATTTTTATCACTTAATAGCTATTCATGAAAAGGTAAAACCCAACTGCGGGATGAGAAAATTGGTGAAATTATAGATATTCAGGTTACAAATGATTATACTAAGATTAAAGTTATCTAGAATAGAGTTACTATGGAGTTAGATATTTAGGGTCCGTTTGGCATGCTCTTTGTTTTAGGCATCTTATTTCTGGCTAAAATAGAAACATTGTTTTTGATGTAGAAGCGTTTTGAAAAAAAATCGGAAACACGTCAAGGAACGATGTTTTGCTATGAAAATATCGGAAATAAAAACATGACCAATTATGGTTTTGGACAATAAACAGTTGTCAAAACAAGAAAAAATAATTTTTTGGTGTTTTGGTTTTGAACCACTGTATTTTAGCATCTTGTAAAATAAAACAATGTCTAACCAAACATGCTTTTATTATCAAAATCGATATTGTAGCAGTCCGAAAATAAAAACAGCAAAAACAAAATACATGCCAAATAGACCTTAGATTATTGTATTGATGATGAGATGGACTTATCTTTTTCTTTTACCTAAAAGTTCCTAAAATAAAATAATAAATATATATATATATATTTTTCCTTCAATTCCTACAATCCTTTTCCTTTTTCTTATCATACATTTCTTCACTCTGCTAACCATTGTTGTCCTCTTTCTTTTCCTTCTTTTGTATTTATCCATAAACGCTTCTACAGCCAAATTACACCTTATTGGAAAATAAATTAAATTTTTTGTATTTAGTCTTTTCATATAATGATATGCATGTGTGCATTTATCATATTAGTGGAAATTATGTAAAATATAAAAGTATGGGGATTGAGATTAGTAAAAGTGAAGTTAGTATATAGTATAGCGGAAGTAATGGGGCATTTATATGCAACTGGTTAGGTATGCGTTTTTTAAATATTTTTCTAGTGTTCCTCCTCCCTCCATTTCTCCCTCAAAAGTTGTATTGTGTTGTGTTTCTAACCGTCTTATTTTCAAGAAAAGGCTAGAACACATTAGAGCGTTGATTCTATAATTATAAGGTTCCACATTTTGAGTAAAATATACATCTCTTATGTTGAAAAAGAGAAGCAAATATGACCCAGCTTGGATTGACACTCGGAAAACAGGAAAAAAAAAATCAGAAAACTCATTTTTGCATTGCTTGGACTTGTTTTTGAGAAAGAATTTTTAGAAAACTGGGAGAGTATGCTTATCAAAAAAAAAAAAAAAAAAATCCCTAAACGAGTTGTCGTTTATAAGCTTCTTGCCCTAAGCCCAAACCGTATGTCCTCTTTCTAAACCTGAGTTGTACGTTCTGTTCTTCATTCTCTCTCTCTCTCTACTGTAAACCTCTTCCGATTTGCTCTCTTCCGTCCCATATTGGTGAGTTTTTTTCTCTCAGACCTGGGATTCGTCTTCAAGGAATGGGTTACCGCTTTTCAGCTCTCAAGGGCTTTCTGGATCTCGACACTTTTCATAGCGAAAGGGACAGCGAAATTGGGGGATTGTGATCTTTTGCATCTACCACTCATGCATGCAGTGGTGACAACGTGGAAGGCTAGTAAGAAAAGGGTCATCAGCGAAATTGGGGAATTTCCACATTCGGATTTTGAAGTGAGACGCGTCGCGCTACACCTGCGAGAAGTCGCTTAGGTCTCAATTTATGGAATTTTTTTCCCATCATGAAATTCATTTTACGTTCCCAAAATGTTGGGGGCGATCTGTTCATCTTTTCTACAACGAAGCTTTTTTATTTACTTGTGGTAAGAAGTGGAAGGCCGAGGCAATAAGATCTATCGGCGCGAGGTACAAGCGTACCTATAAAAACGGCGTCTTCGAATTCATGGTGGCCGTGATATGTCTGACTTAATGTGTGTTTTTGGTGGGATAAGATGAACAGAACAGTTGCGAACGGACCAGACGATGTGAGCCGATGTCAGAGGTTGCGATGCGAAGCGTTGCGACACTACCAAGAGGATTGATGCGAGGTCAGGGAAATTTCAGAGTCATTGGTATGAATTCGAAGTACCCGATGTGATGAATTAGAAGTAAAATTGCAGAAACAGCAATTTGGGAAAGGTTTCTCACCCTTCTCTCCGACCCTGGACGTGATTTGAAGGTTTTTCCCTGCAGAAGCTCTTTCCAAGTGAGGATCGAACTTTTTCCTCTCCTTCGACGGAGACCCTTGTTCGAGGATCTCGCATTTTTGGCTGCAAAACCCAGTTTTCGTCTCTGATTTCTCAGCTTCTGAAGCACACGGTATGTGTGTGTTATTCTATCTGTCTGTGTGTGTTCTTCTGTTCTATATTACGTGTGTGTGAGTGAGCCTTTGTGTATATATGTGTGTTCTGTGTATCTGGGGGTTTCATAAACTGATGTTTGAGTTGGAGTCTTAATTAAATAAAGAAAGAAGGTGTGATCTCTTAATTGTAAGATCCAGTTTTTAAATTTTTATGAGTTGCTCATCACGTTATAAACATAATTTTGTATCAATAAATAAGGATTTGTTTTGAAAATAGCAATTAAATTTCAAGGGTCCAATGACTAAGTTATGTATGAGATAGATCTAATTACCTTTTTAAATTCATGTTTTAATTAAGTTTGAAGGTGATTAATCCTTCTCTTCTTAAACCAGGGCATTAATTCTAAAGCACCTGCAAGAGCCTTATTTAGTAGTCCGGGATCATTTAGTACTCAAAAGTTTAAGTTGCAGGTATTGTTGTTTATTTACCCATTTATATTTAATCACTTTCCCTTCTTGATCGGATGTGGGACAAAAGACCGTTTGTAACAACTAACCACTTTCATTTAAATTTTTTCTCAAACTTTTCTATATGAACGTAAATTGTTTAGTTATGTTATGTTCGATTTTCTATTCTTTAATTTGTGAACTTTGTATTTATTTATATTTGTAATTCATTGCATTTTTAGGTATTTTTATCACTAAATAGCAATTCATGAAAAGGTAAAACAAAACTGTGGGATGAGAAAATTGATGAATTATAGATATTCAGGTTACAAGTGATTATAGTGAGATTAAAGTTATCTTAAATGGAGTTGATATTTAGATAAACATTTGTTTATTGTATTGATGATGAGATGGACTTCTCGTTTTTCTTTTACGTAAAGGTTCCTAAATTAAAATAATAAATATACATATTTTCTTCCGTTCCTATAATCCTTTTCTTTATTTATTTATTTTTTATTTTTTTATTTTATTTTATTTTATTTATCAAAAAATGCTTCTACAGCCAAATTAGCACCTTAGTGGAAAATAAATTAAATTTTTTGTATTTAGTCTTTTCATATAATGATATGTGTGTGTGCACTTATCATATTAGTGGAAATTATGTAAAATAAAAAAGTATGGGAATTGAGATTAGTAAAAGTGAAGTTAGTATGGTATGCATTTATATGCAATTGGTTAGGTATCGTTTTTGAAATATTTTTCTAGTGTTCCTCCCTCCATTTATCCCCCAACTATTGTATTGTGTTGTGTTTCTACCCTCTTATTTTCAAGTAAATATATCCATCATTGTAAAGGCTTGAACACATTACAACGCTGATTCTATAACTATAAGGTTTCACATTTTGAGTAAAACATGTATATCTTTTATGTTGAAGAAGAGAAGAGAAGAAAATATGGACTTGTTTGGTTTGTAACTCCGAAAACAATTTTCAAAATTTCAGAAGATAGAAAACAATTTTAAAGTTCTATATTTTGTTATCTGAATTCTTGAGAGCTGTTTATAGAGTTAAAAACCAACCCAGCCATAGAATTTAGTAATTGACATGCTTGGGCTGCAGCATCAACAGGCCCATAGTGCACTATTCTTTGATTAGCATAGCATACTGCGCCCTGAACAAAATTATCCAATGGTGTCTCAATTGGGCTTCAGTCATAGGCCCAATTATTAGCTGGATCCAAGCCCACCCGACTTGGAGGAACTGCCTGGATCCTTACTTCCTGTTTTCAAAACCCTAAAATAATTTTTTACTCTTTTTCCTCTGCTTCGACGAATCCTGCTCCATCTGCTCATACGGATAGAACTTTTTCCTCTTCTTCGTCGGAGACCCTTGTTCGTGGTTGGTATAGGGAGGATCTCGCATTTTTTGGCTGCAAAACCTATTTTTCGTCTCTGATTTCTCAGCTTCTGAAGCACACAGTATGTGTGTGTTCTTCTATCTGTCTTTGTGTGTTCTTCTGTTCTATATTACGTGTGTGTGAGTGAGCTTTTGTGTGTGTATATGTGTGTTTGTGTGTTCTGTGTATCTGGGGTTAGAGTTTTCTATGTCAGTACCAATCCTATCGTATACATGTTGCATTACAATTTCTATACCTATTTTGTATTAGTGGGCTACTCAAGTTCTTGCAATTTTTATTTTTTTATTTTTGTATTTTTGTGTGTAAAGCTTCTGTTGGCTACAATGATACAAATGACAACTGAAGTACTTACTATATATATATATATATATATTTTTTTTTTTTTTTTTTTGCAAAGCTTCAGTTCCATTGTAATTGCAAAGCTTGAATTTTTTTTTTTTTTTTTTCCCGTGCGAAGCTTAAGTTCCATTGCATTTTTATTTTTATTTTTTGGTGCAAAGCTTTGTACTTACAATGACATGAAACTTCCACTTGCCATTTTCTATATTATTTCTCCTCTGTTTCACAGGTTGTATTTTGACAAATATATATTGCAAGTTCCATTACAAGTTCCATTAATGTTAAATGTTGGTTATATTTAGCAAGTTCCATTGTAATTAACCCATTCCAATTAATTCAATTGTAAGGTAATAAAGGTCCACAAACAAGTCAATGGGCAAATTGGTTAATTTTTCATGTGTCAGTGTGCCAGATGGTGTCAGGGGGTGTTTTGTCAACTTTATCAAATTTTAGGGGGTCTCGTTGTTCGTCTAACTTATATATGGCTATCAATACGGTAAACCTAGTGTCGTTGTAATTAACCCTATAATTTATGTATATGATTTTTTATGTGGCTGGTGTTTGCAAGTAAATATAGAACCAACTTCAGAATAAGCGGGGTGTGTTTGCATATTGAATGTTTTTGTATGGTGGTGATAGTGTAAAATTTTGTGTTCCAATGTCTGTGAATGGCACAATGGTAATGGTAGTTGTATAAAGCTTCAACATTTATCCTTTACAACATGTAAGACCATGAAACACTCTTTTTTATTTTAATTTTCAGGGGCTTATATTTCAATAAATCTCTGATCATAAATCAGTGTTTAATTGACGTGGGACACTATATCATACTACTTGTAGCATGTTAAAAGTTTTTCCTCATTCTTATCAGTAAGCATTCATTTGAAAAATAATAATCGAATGAGTAGGTATCAATACAAATTTTCCAATTTTTAATAATACAACCTCTTTATGTTAAACTACTAATAATAATAATAAATAAATAAATAAATAAAAGAGTGTTAGACCTTATGACCTCAAAATTATTTCCGATAACTGAAGCAACGTTAGTTTGTAGCTATCCTTCATGAAGCAGAACATGTGATACTTTTCCAAATAAAAAAGCTGTGTGCGCGGAGTGTATAGACACAAAAATATTTGTAAATAAATTATATAGATACTTTTTAGTTTTACTTTATTTAATTAAGAAGTTTATTATTTTATAATTTTTTAAATTAATTATATGTATAAAAAATTAACCAGTGTCTGTTAAGAATCTAAAATAAATATATAGAAAAATGTTAAAAAATAAATATATATATATAAAAGTGTTAAAAAATATACTCAAGGGCAACGCCAGTGTGCACGAGGTCATGTACCCCTCCCTTGACCTGACCCGCTCATTATAATATATGATGTATTTTTATTATATTTTTACACACACACACATATATATAAAATTTAATATAATGCCCTCCTAAAATTTTTAGTTATAAAATTACCCTTTTTTTTTTTTTTTTTTTCTCTTCAAATTCCTTTGATTTCCTTATCCAAAAAAAAAAATTAAAAAAAAAAATTATAATAATAATAAAATTAAAATTTTCATTCTTCGATCAAACCGTGCTCATTTTTATTTCCTTTATTTTTTTTCCCCTACTTTTTAAAATTCTTCTTTTTGCACTTACGTATAACGTATGTTGTAGGTAATAGTAGGTGTAATTTTCATCCAAAACTTTTCAAAATACAAGGACCTAAAACTATATTCAATGAAAGTATTATCAAACAATATTTTAAATCTAATATTGGTCTAAGTATTTATATATTTTTATACTAGTAATTGGTTTAGCATATTGTTTTGTAATGATTTTTTCCTTCCTATCATGATAATTCAGATATCAATGCTTAGAATTAAATTGTACCAAATAAGTTGAAAAATTGCAATCCAACGGCATAAAATCATACTCCCAATTAAACCATCAAGTTGGAAAGTACAACCCAATCCATCAAGTATTAATAATCGCATTGCAATCCTATTTTAGAAAACGTAGTGTATAAGACTATAAAATAATTTTTATTATTTATATATAAAAATTTCCAACAATCTCTCACTTGGTCCACGCACTCTAAGTTTTATAAAAAATGACACTATGGATTGCAACACAAAAGTCGACTGGCCACTTGTAATACCCCTAATTTTTAAGGGATTTATTTGGGATTATTTGGATTTAATTATTCATTTTAATTGCATTTCGTTTGATTATGTGACTATATGTTTAATTGATTTAATTGTTTGATTTGTATTGTGTGTATTATTGGTGTGTATTCGTGTGATGTGATCAATGTGATTAATGGAGTAATTGTTTGTAATTAAGTGTTAATTAAATGTTTAATTGTCTGTGTTGTAAATTTTAATTTAAAAATGAAAGAATTTGAATAGTAGTAATGTACCAACCATATGGATCACATGGATTACTTGGATAGGAAGCCTAGATGGGTAAGGTTATGACCCATGATATTAGTGAGATATATATATATATATATATATATATATATACATACATGCACTATAAGTTTTATAAAAAATGACACTATGGATTGCAACACAAAAGTCGAGTGGCCACTTGTAATATCCCTAATTTTTAAGGGATTTATTTGGGATTATTTGGATTTAATTATTCATTTTAATTGCATTTCGTTTGATTATGTGGCTATGTGTTTAATTGATTTAATTGTTTGATGTGTATTGTGTGTATTATTGGTGTGTATTTGTGTGATGTAATCTATGTGATTAATGGAGTAATTGTTTGTAATTAAGTGTTAATTAAATGTTTAATTGTCTGTGTTATTTTATTTGTAAATTTTAATTTAAAAAAGGGAAGGATTTGAATAGTAGTAATGTACCAACCATATGGATCACATGGATTACTTAGATAGGAAGCCTAGATGGGTAAGGTTATGACCCATGAATATTAGTGAGACACACACACACACACACACACACACCACACACACACCACGCACGCACACACTACGCACACACCACGCGCACACACACACACACACCCACACGTAGGCAGATTATAGTTATTATTAATATTACTATAATTAGATTTATTTATTCTCCTTTGCTTTGAGTTATAATGTAACTAGGATTAGGGTTACATAGGTTATATATATGTATATGTATAGTATGTGGGAAGCTTTAGTATTATTACGTACATAGTATTAGAGGCAGAGAAAGAGAGTAACAGAGAGGAAAAAGAGAGGAACCGTGAGGGAGAAAGAGAGGGTCTTGGCCAAGGAAAAGGCTGAACCAAGGAAGGAGAAGGAAGGTCTGCTTGTGGGTTGAACCAAGAGCAACAGAGGACGGAGAAGGCAACCAAGGGGTCGCCAGAAAAGCTAAGGAAGAAAAAGAGAAGGTTTTTAATCTGAAACCTTAAGACAAATTCTTCTTCTAACTCTTCTCCTTTGACCACGTGTTCTATACATGCCTAGGTTGAT